ATCTGACGTCAAGAAGAAGTATAAAGAAACCTTCGGCATTGTTAAAACATTCGATGTACTAAAAGAAGAAATAGAAGCTACAAAACTGTTTAGAATCTCACGAATTCATAACGTATATCATGTAAAATGTTTATAAAATAACTGGGGTAGAAATGAGGGTAGAAATGAGGTTAGATCTAACCATCTACCCTAAAATATATTTTTGCTGAATTCAACACAAAAATAATGAATTTCCTTAGATAGAAAAAAATAAAGTTAGTTTTATTTTTTTCTAACTTTTTATCTTGTATGTAAGAACAGAAATGTCAGTCGAAGCAAAAACATTCACTAACAAATCTAATGGCGAAACATTCACAAAAGGCACTTATAACGGTATTGAAGTCTTACGTAGAGACAAGGATGGTTATATAAATGCAACAAAGATGGCAAGAGAAGCAGGAAAGTTAAACCATTTAAACAGATTTCTCAATAGTGCGAAAATGCAGGAAATTCTTGAGTTTTGGTTGAAAGAATACGGTGGAGCCAAAAGTGGCTCAACCTCAAAACAAGCATTTTATGAGCTTACTAAGGGTGTTATAAATGAATTCAAAGGTATTTACATACATCCTGACTTCGTTCATTTTGTTGCTGAATGGTGCTCTGTAAAGTATGCATTTTATGTCAAAGATATTATGGACTCCATAGACAAGAAAGTTCATGAGAAGTTAGATGAAGAAGAACTCGAAGATACAGTAGAGAATGCTAAACCTTTGTTCGAACAAGAAGTTGGAAAAATGTGCGAAAAACAATTAGAACATGAACGTGAGATATGTTATGGTTATAGAGATTCTCCATACGAACTAGACCAATGGGAACAAGAAGATTTAAAGAGAGAATTTAGAGAATATGAACTCGCTAAGATAGCATTAGAAGCTGCAGAAAAGAAGTTAAAAGTTTGGGGTCGTTTTGTACAAAAATATTGTGAGTAAATGAACTCATTATTTTTGCTGAATTCAGCACAAAATTCTGAGTAAAATGACATATGGCACGTGTCAAACCGTTGAGTTTTCACAAATTTTAAAAATTGCTGCGGAAAGTTCGTCAAAAAAGTGAAGGTTCCCGACGGTTTCAAACCGCCATACTTTACATGAAGATAGTTTACAATGTCAACTAAATATCATGTACGATAGAAACGGTTATGTAAAGTTTACATTTTGTAAAGTTTTGTCCTGATTCAAGACAAGTCTTGTATTTTTTCAGAACAAGACTTGTATTTTTTCAAGACAAATCTTGTCCTGATTCAGAACAAGACTTGCACTTTTTAGTCAGTTTTTCTTGTAAAGTTCTCAAATTTGAGAACAATTGTCCTGATTCAAGACAAGTCTTGTATTTTTTCAGAACAAGTCTTGTATTTTTTCAAGACAAATCTTGTCCTGATTCAAGACAAGTCTTGCACTTTTTCAGGAAATCCTATCGTCCAACTTTACAAATGTCACTTTTCAACATGATTGCATTTTGGTCGGGGAACAACTTTCTCTCAATTTTGCCACTTTTTCTATCGTCGTGTTTTGTCACTTTTCCCTCAGGGTGTGTGTCAGAAAATATCCAAAATCTTTATAGCCTCGTATCTCCTTCAATTCTTGACGGTTTGACATGTATGACACACCATTCAATTCAGAATTATGTGCTGAATCTTATGACCTTCATTTGTTCGTGACTTCTTTTCACATATGTAAACATGAATTTTTAACATTTCTTTATCACAGAAAAATAAAGTTAGTTTTATTTTTATTTATTTTTTTATTTTGTATGTAAAGACAGTAATGACAACATCAGAGAACACAACAACAGTTATAGTCCATGAAGCCATAAATGAAGAATACAAATACATACAATATAACAAACAACTTCGCCTCATTCGTTCGGTCAAAGATGACATGTACCAAATGCAAAGTATAATGAATGCTCTTCGTTCTACAAAGCAAGCATATCATTGGTTTGAAAACCAACAGACAAAAGAACTTTTAGAAGAATTTCCTCATATGATTGCTTCCCTCGGAAAACCGGGGGAAGAGATTCCGTATGAAAATCGCAAGAATTTGGCTCCTGGTTTGAAAGGTTATTATGTTCATAGACTTTTAGTAAATGCTGTAGCAATGTGGGCTTCACCTCGTTATGCTTGTTATATTTTCATGATGTTAGATGAACTATATAAAGCAGAACGTGAAGATATGGAAAAGAAACTTCAAGCAAAAGATGAAGTCATTGAATCCAAAGACAAAAGCATACAGAAAAGAATACCGCGTTCAGTACCAAAAGGAAAGGAAAAGAGTTATAAGTATATGATATATACTGAAGAGTTGGAGAAAGAAGAAGATAGAGATATGGTTATGTTGCATTTAGTCAGAAGAAACAACAAAAGCTTTTATGACCTTGCTAAGATTTACAAATCTGACAGAAACTGGTTCTATCGTGAAAACTTACCGATTTCAATGACACCGAATGAGCAAATAAAGGAAATTGTCAAAAATACTCTTCCTCAAACACACTATGACATCAAAGGTTGCACAATACTTACATTCAAAGAAGACTTACCATTACTGAAGGAAAAAATAACAGAATATTTCGATAACTTCAAAGAGGAAGAATGAAAACTTACCGATTTCAATGAAAAACATTAACTTTTTGACGAAGTGAAGATTTGCACTTTGTCAAAATTTAATGAAAACTTACCGATTTCAATGAAAAACATTAATTTTGACGAAGTGAAGATTTGCACTTTGTCAAAATTTAATGAAAAAACATTAACTTTTTGACGAGGTGAAGATTTGCACTTTGTCAAAATTTAATGAAAAACATTAACGTAAACATTAACGATAAAATTTATTTCCTGGACTGTTGTCAAAATGTCATGTTGTCATCATTTTTAAAAGAAGTTAAATAACCTGGTGACACATGGTGACGTGGTGACACCTTCAGTTCTTCAAAAATATATTTTTGCTTAAATAGCTTCAGGGTCTATTTCTTCAACCATTTCACTTTCTTCGTCAATGTCAATAGAAGCTTCTTCAACCTTTGGTAAGAATTTCTGTATAACATCTTTGTTCGTTATTGTCTTCAAAGATGAAGAATAATATTTCACATTTGTTTCACCCTTCTTATATTCTTTCTGTTCGGAAAGATTTAAAGCAATACTGAAGAAGTCAATGTTAGAGTTCTTTATGACAGTATAATGAGTATCTTTGACATTCACGAAGAAACTCTTTTGTTTCAAAACTACTGCTAACTCTTGTGAAGTATAACGTTTGCGGTCAATGACGATAGCTAATGGTCTGACATACTGACCAAACTTAGATTCTTTCACAAACTTCTTGTTAAAGATAACATTAACATTTGAAGCACCATTGAACTCATTCTTGATGGCAGTAGCGAGAGCATTGTATGAAAAGAACTTGCAATCTTGCATGTGTTTCATTAAAATAAAAATATTAAATTATTTTGAAAAATAACTTTAAAAAATCTAATCTAATTTTTTCAAAAAAATATTTTTTTATTTCCTACTAAAGATGTATCGGAAGTTGTCTAAGTTAGAACACTCGGAAATAAAACAACTTCTTACAGAAGCTAACATAGATGTTGCAAAACATTACGCGACAAACAAAAAAGCACTCGCTGACATCCTCAATGACTATAATGGTGCAATAAGTTATGATAGAATTCATGAGTTCATAAAGCCGCAACGCGGCGAGGACGAAGTCCATGCAAGAACTTTTCCTTTAAATGACGTTGCTATTGACTTATATCATAGACGTTCAGTACCTCATGAAGTAAGAAGAGAAATGTTTGACATAACAAATGCAAACGTTGGTGAAACAAGAAGAAGAGACGACACACTGAAACAACAGAGAAGAGAGATGTTTAAAAGTGCTATAGAACAAGTTCGCAAAGCTAACGATGTCATTCGTTCCATTGACGACAAACCAAAAGAAGGTGAGAGATGGTTAAAGAAAGATGAAGAGAATAGGAAGAGAAATGTGAAGTCAGGCAATAGACTCATTGACTTTAACATCGAAGCTTTAGATGAACCAAACAGAGACTACTTACACAAACATTTCGGTAAGGTTTTCATGAGACTCTTAGAGAAAATTAAAATAAACTCACAACAGAGATGGATGGTATGTTATAAACTTGGTGGAAAGTATGAATGTTCTACGTTAAACCTCAATAATATTGGAACATTACTACATCAGCTCTTGAAGGAGAACTTTATATCAGAGATAGAAGCAAATGCTGCAGGTATTGTTGAAATGCACTATGACTTCTTCTTGACAAACATAAAGAATCTTACTGAAATAAAGATGTATGATTTAACAGAATATGAAGGCTTAACGATGTCAGATGTAAAGAAAGGCAAACCAAAAAAGAGACCATATAGAGATGAAAGCACACTGACAAATGACCAGAAAGCCATTTTGGAAGCTCTTAAGCAAACAGGAAACCCAGCACTTATAGAAAGCTTTTGGAAAGATAATGGTGAAAAGAAGTTTTATAAGAAGAGAAGCGGTCAGTTCTGGAAGTATCTTTGCACATTACCTATAAATCTTGAACGCTACCAAATCTTCAATGAACTGAACAAAAGAACTGCAGCACTTATGACAGAAGACAATTGTTTCGTTTATGCTTGCATTCAAGCTGGAGTAGATGAAGAAACTATTGACCACATGAGAGAAGTCATTCGTGTTAGAGACTTTCCTCAAAGTAAAGTACAAGAAATTTCTGACGCAACAAGTATAGCATTTAATGTTACCATTGGTTATTTCAATGACTCAAGACATAATGAAATAAAGAGATACATACCAAAAGAATGTGAAACTGTTCGAACTATTGACTTACTTCTTGTTGAAGACCACTACATGCTAAATGAAAGACTTCCAATGACAACATATTTCATTCGCAACTATATAGAAATCTTGAAGGAGTGTGGTGGAATGAACATTGAAAAACAGATGAAAATATATACAATGAGAGATGGTAAATACATTGTTCGCATGGATAGAACAACACCGTTATGGGATGTTATGAAAACATTGTGGGAGTGCAAATATTTCGAACCTATTTCTTATGGAGAACTTTTCACATATACGACTGACTTATATAAACAGAACCTTGCACCATTTAAAGATTTGACATATGCTCCAAAGTATTGTGTACAACTGAAGAAGAAAGCCGAGTCAAAAGAAGTAAATAAAAATAAGTGCAAGTTCATTCCTGAGCACGTTTTCTTTGCTGACTTTGAGTGTAGCACAGACGGCTTTCATAAAGCTTTTAACATCTGTTACGACAGTGAAGATGGTTCAGTGAGTGAAAGCATATGGGGTCAGAACTGTGCAACAGAATTTTTGGAGCGACTTCCTGACAAGAGTTTAATATATTTCCATAACCTCAGTTATGACATAAACTTCATCTTAAGACACATGACAGAAGTGAAAGGAACTCCCATCATTAAAGGTTCACGAACAATGCAAATAACTGGCTTATATAAAGGAAGGGCAATTATTATAAAAGACTCTTACAGTGTTATAAATAAGAAACTTAAACTATTTCCTGCTATGTTTAACTTACAAACAGGACCGAAAGAAGTATTTCCATACAACTACTACAGCAGTGTTTTGTTAGCAAATGACAACAGAACTGGTGTCATTTCTGAAGCATGTAAGTTTATCCGGGATGCAGATACATTCATGAAAAACATAGATTCCATCAAAGGTTGCAGAATAGATGAAAACCACTTCGACTTAGAAAAATATAGCACATTCTATTGCAAACAAGATGTAAGAATTTTAAGAGAAGGTTTTGTTAAGTTCCGCAATGACATATTAAAAGAATTTGATTTAAACGTTTATGACTACGTTAGTATTTGTTCAATTGCTAACAAATTATTTGAGAACAGAGTGTACTTCCCGAATGGAAATTTATATGACCTCTCAAATAAACCAAGAGAATTTATTTCACGCTGTATTCAAGGTGGAAGATGTATGCTGTCAGATAACATGAAACAAAAGAGCGAAAAGAAACTCATTGCTGACTTCGACGCTGTTTCATTATATCCATCCGCTATAGCAAGACTTTATACTTTAGAAGGTATTCCAAAGGTTATGAAAAAGAAATGTTAAGCACAGAGTATCTCATGAGCATTTATTTGATGACGACCAAAAGGAACCCATTGGTGAAAAGTTTATGTCTGGCTTCTTTGTTCTCATTAAGATAACAGAGATTGGAATACATAGACACTTTCCTTTAATAGTTTGTGACCCTGAACTAAATCCAGAACTTAACGTTCCCAGAAGTTCAAACACTTGCTGTTTAATGTATGTTGACCATATAACATTACAAGACCTCATAAAATATCAAGGTGTCAAATGTGAAGTGTTGCAAGGATACTATTACGATGGAAACAGAGATATGAGAATAAGAGATGAAGTAAAGAAGTTGTTTGAGTTAAGGTTAAAGTATAAGAAAGAAGGAAATCCTTTGCAAGAAAATATAAAGCTCATTCTGAACAGTATTTATGGCAAAACTATTCTATCTCCTATTGAGTCAAAAATAACCATAGTAAATGACAAAGATGCTATAAGATATGCCATCAGAAACTACAACCATATAGTGAAGTTCGAAGGTTTGGATGGTTCAGATAAAACTATTTTCAAGCTAACGAAAAGCATTTGCAGACACTTTAACTTCTGTCCACTTGGTGTTAATATTCTATCTATGTCGAAGAGAATAATGTGTGAAGTATTCTGTACTGCTGAAGATATGGGACTTCAAATATTTTACCAGGACTGTGATAGCATGCATATTTTCAATGAAGACATCCCAAAGCTTGCAGCAGAGTTTAAGAAGAGATACGGTCGCGAACTTATAGGAAAGAACCTTGGTCAATTTCATAGCGACTTTGCAGAAATAACACCTGGAAAACAAAGTTTAGCATACAAGTCAATATTTTGTGGAAAGAAGACCTACATAGACTTACTCACTAACGATTTAAATGAAGTTGCATTCCATGCACGTTGCAAAGGTGTCAAACAAGACGTCCTTGCTTTAACAGCTAATGAAATGTTTCCTGAAGCTATACAATGCTATTACAATGAAGATAAGAACATTCACATACCTGTTGGAACATATGACAAAGACTATGAGTTCAGTTTAATGAAACTTTACAAAGCACTTTATGACGGTCAAGAGATTGGATTTGACTTATGTAAGTCTTCTAGTCCTTGCTTTGCTGAAAAGTTTAACTTTCTATTCAGACTAAGACTTCATTCATAAGAAAGCTTAAGTTCTGAGGTCATGAATGAGAAAATAATAAGGTCATTTATTTTTGTCAGCAATGAGGTCATTCGTGATAAAAATAAGCCGCTAGCGGCAAGGCGAAGCCCATGTGGTCATTTACAATACTGCGATGGTAGAGTTTAAGAGTTGTGCTTCAATGTAGAGACAGTCCTTATGGTCTGGAGGTAAGAACACTGGGCAGTTATGGTCATGAGTGGAGAACATGTCTATCCAAAACTCACGATTGAAGCCAGTTAATTTATAGTATTTAGGGTTAGGAAGTGGTGAAGTTCTTGTATGACCAATGAACTCATTTTCAACTCCCTTACTTAAGTTTGAATATAATATAGCTTGCTTTCTATCCCAAATGCCAGGTGTTACAATCTTTGAAAATTCATTTTTCCTCGGAAGCATTGCATTATAATTGAAAACATTCTTGAAGTCTTCATTGGATTCAGAGATTTGAAATCTTATACGTAATGGATTTTCTTTCTCTTTAGCTACTTCATTGAATGGTGAATATATAACAAACTGACAGTCATGAGTTCCATCTTCATTTTCATTAAATTCATAATGAAAGTCTATAAGTTGTGGCTGACTACCTTCTTCTTTCAGTTGTGCAAGAAACTCACGTAAGGCTGTAAAGTTTGTACTTCAATGTTGAACTTTTTCTCGAACATCTCATTAAATGAAATCATACATTGTTGCAATGTTGTATCGTCTTTAAAGTATTTGTATATGTGAATGTTTTGGGCGCTTAAAGACTGTTCGTCATTTTTCTATCTCGACTTGAAGTATAAAGTCAACCTTTCTGAAAGCACGTGTTATATACATAGATGTTATGCCAATGTACTTCTCTTCATTTATGTTCACAATCCAGTCTGTTGGAAACTTAAACGTTACTCTGTTCCCCTTTATTTTGACGTCAGGGTTTTCACTACTGAACGCAACAGTTAAAGGTATTTGTCTATACATTTAATTCGGATAAAAATAAACCATTTACTCTTTCTTTGCTTCAGCTTCTTTAGCTTTTGCTTCTTCTCTAGCTTTTTTCGCAGCAAACGTGGGTTCTTCTGTCTTCCAGCAGCTAATGCAGCTAGTTGTTTTTCACTAAGTTTTCTCTTTGGTCTCTCTGGCTTTTGTTCTTGTTTTTGTTCCTTCAGTTCGGATAAAATTTGCTCGCGAATTTCTTTCTTCAATGCTTCAACATCTATGACCCCTTGGGTCTTGTCCGTAGGGCTTGTCTGAGTCATTTGACTGCAGATAAAAAACAAAATTAAAACCTTAACCGATGTAAAATGAGCTTGTCAAAATCAGAGCGAGAGTCTATTATATTAAATGACGCAAGAGGAATACAACATCCTTTCTATTACGTAAGTCAGAGTAAAGATGGTAAAATATACGTAAGAAAAAGAAAGGTTCCATTAGCGAATGCAGAAAGCGACAACATTAAGGTGTATGGCAAGGATGAAGTCCACGAAGCCCATATAAAACCTTCTGTTCAAACTGAAAAGTCAATAGAACCAGAAGAAAGAAGCCAGATGTACTTTCAAATAACGAACCAAGAGCTTATTGCAAAGTTCGTGAATTTCATTGAAAAACAAACCGAGTCAAAGAACCCTGACCCACCAGTGAAAGAAGTTGAGACAAAAGAGAATGTACAGTTCATTGAAAATGTCAAGAAACAACTTCCACCACGAATGCCAAGAAGAAGAGTGAGAATAATGAAGTAAATAGATATTTTTATCCGAAGTAAATACATGCAGAACGAACAGTTAAACGAATTTACTCCAGCAGAGCATATTCATCAGATTCGCTCATATTTCGATATCATAGACAATGCAGTTCAAATTGGTGACACTAATAGAAAATATTCTGACGCAAAGATTCCATCACAACCTGGAACTGCTAAAGATAACACATGGGTAACATTCAATCTCTCACCTCCTGGTGAAAATATGTTGGACCTTTACAATACATTCATTACGTATAAAATGGAAGGTCAATTTATTGTAGATAAAGAAATTGGTTCAGGTTCCAATAAAACAAACCCACCAGGATTTTGGATTGGTTTCGATGACGCTTTCTATGCAGTTGCTGGATATCAAATCCTTGCAAATGGTCGTATTGTATATTCTCAAGACAACGCAAGAGAAGAAGCATATATAACTTCAAACTCACAAACTACCGAACAAATAAAGAAAGTAGATGTTTTCTCAAAGACTCGACATGAAGATGTATGGAGTCATTCGGGAACATGCAGAACAGGACAAATTGTTAGTGGTCCAATTACAGCAGGAAAATCATTTGATTTTAAGCTTCGTTTAAGAATTCCTGTTAGAAAGTTTTTACCATTAGAAGCTATAAGATTTATTCCTGCATTTGCTGGTAACATTCAGCTTAAAGTAAAGTTCAGTAGCGACGCCTTACAATGCACATCTATATCTGTAAATGATATCATTGCTTTCAATCCAACTCTTAAAGTTGCATTTGCTTCAGATTCAAATCCACCGACAAATAAATTTGTTCCATGGAATGAACCATTCACTATGATAACGAAGGCAATAGAAGCTAGTGGAACAGTTACTATTACAACTGTAACCCAGCAACTATTTCGAACAAAGATGGATTTTAATGAATGTTTCATTCATCCAAAGTCATTCTCTTTAGACCCTAACATTTATACAGAACTTGTAGAACATTATACAAACGAGGCTTTATGTTTTCCTGTTAAAGTTATGGATTGGATTCCTATGGACGGTTCATTCTCAAAGAATACAGATAGTTCAAGTGCAACATTTACAGCAGCTTATACGCCTATTAATGTTAAAAGTATTTGGGCACTATTTAGAAAGAAAGACAACTATTATGTTAATTTTGAGAACCCTAAGTTTAAATATCTTCAGCTTTCCATGGGAGCTTATGGAAATATGCCTGCAGAACCTGAAAAATCATATGGACCTGTATTTTATGAAATGGTTGCGAACGCTTGCAATACAAACAATGATATGATTGGATTTAATGAAGATGTTATGAGGTCATTGGTGGATGATGGTAGTGTGGAACATAAATGGGATAGCTATGACAACACACATTTCTTATGTGGTTTTCCAACAGAAGTGGACTTTTGCTTCCAGCAAGGTCAAACATCTACTGCTCCAATAACATACAAATTGTCTGTTAAAGGACCTATTGAACTAGCAACTGAAAATGTACCAAAGCCACTTATTGGATTTATGAGGGATTGTTGCTTTGCAATACAAGTAAGACAGTCAGGCATACCAATAATAAGACTAGACGACTATAACTTAGCAGCTGACGACAGTGAGGAATAAAGGATGAACGTTTATTTTTAAAGCTTATAAATGAGTTCTTCATCAAGCTCTCGTGAACCTTCACCATCTATGAAACAAACTTTACCAAACGATTATGGAGCACCTATTGAATATTTCTTACGAGCTGCACAATGGCAAAGAGCAGTCTCACCAAGGTTAGGTGTTCCACCAGCTCCTGTCAAAAA